TTGGGACAGAGAGAGACAGAGCATGAACGGGGGAGGGGCAGAGAGAGAGGGAGACACAGAATCGGAAACAGGCTCCAGGCTCTGAGCCATCAGCCCAGAGCCTGACGCGGGGCTCGAACTCAGGGACCACGAGATCGTGACCTGGCTGAAGTCGGACGCTTAACCGACTGCGCCACCCAGGCGCCCCTCAAATCACTTTTAAGTTCTCATTTACTTTGCAAACTTTGGGGATATGTTGGAGTTGCCTTTACATTTATTGCTGGTTTCAAAAAGGGAAAGCCCTTGTGCTGTTATATTCTGGATGATGCTTTAGATTATTACTCCTAGGGTGTTCTCTTGTTAGTTCTGAGTTTTCTTCTTTTACTGAATTTTTTTTCATCAAAATACTAAAATTCTAATTCAGGATTGAGATCGAGTTGCTAATTTAAAGCTTCATAGAAGCAAATGGTCTGGTCAGCTATCTCTTAGAACCAAATGTATCACCCTTATGATTAAGGGGTGGAAAGGAAAGGAAGAATGAAACCAAACAAATGAAGATGCCAAAAGTATGAGGGGTTTTAGGGAGAAAAGGAAAAGGAAAAAACTGGTAGTATTACTGATAACCAGAAATGCATTTTTATATCTAAAATTAATTCCCATCATAGATGATGAAGTTGTAATATCAATCTTAGTTGTCAGACTTACATAATAACTTGTAAATAATCTGTATAGTTTAAAAGATAGCAACAAAATTTCTTAATTGTCTTTCTTTTGTTGTAATTGTATTTCACCGTTTATTCATTTCACTATTTTTCAGAGGAATTAATAATTATTTTGCACTTGTGTTTGAAAGATTACTTACACCTCGAGAATCTGTTCACTTGGGCTTTTATCAATTATAGATCAAGCTCAGAATAACTAAATATTTGAATGTAGACATTGTATTTTCATGCTGCTGTCATTGGTTCTGAGAAAGGTAATTGGGCTTTACATCCACTTATAGAAAAGTATTAACACTTTTGATTTGGACTCTTTGCAGATATGATACAAAAGATTTGTAAAACATAAGTTGATATTCTTAACTGGTTTGAATACCTGTTAGTACCAAGAAGAGTTCACTTGATACTAAGGGGAGAGAGAAGCCTTCCTAGTGCCAGGCTCCAGCTCTCCTTCTTCCTATCTTTATAACTTTGGACAAGTTACAAAGTCATGACCTGTCTGTGCCTCTGACTCAGATTGGTCACCTGTCAAATGAAGTTAGATTCATAGGGTTTGTATATTAAGCACTTAACCATAGTGATAATCGATACTTTTAATGTTATTTGCATATCATTTTTTCTCTGAAAGCATATATATTACAAAATTTAGACAAATTAGTCTTAACATTAAACACCCTTTAAACTGAGTGGTATTAAATTCTTAAGACTAATAGTTATAGATTATAGTTCTGTGTTCAAAGTTTTGTTATTTAATACTTTTAAAGTAAGTTTTAAAATTGACCTTGATGAAATGAATGTGGAGGAAACGAATTTATGATGCCATATTACTCAAGATGCTGTATGTGTTCAATAGATTAAAACTTTTTCTCTGTTCTTTACTAGTTATTTATCAGAAAGTCTGATGTTGAAAGAGAACAGAACTTGCTTGTCACAGTTACTAGATATAATGAAAAGTAAGTGAAACAACTTTTATAAAATGTTCTTCTGTTACAAAGTCGCTTTCTAAATAAATATTATCTTGATATTTAACTTGAGACATAGATTATTGTTTAGATTTACTTTCATTGAATTAATATATCATGGAGGCATGAAGGATACATTGGTGGAGAACAAATAGAAGGTACTCTAAAGGAAGTACTTTTCACCCATATAGACTTAATAGGAGAGTGAAAATATAAGATTCAGAGAGGGTTAAGACTCAAAACAGACCTTTTCAAGTGTGCACAGATATGTGGTAGGCACAGAAAAAGATCTAAATGGAATCAAATCAAAGATAATACTTAAATTTGGTGTTCTGTTTTGTAATCAGCTCTAACTAGTTTATACATGTCATTTGCTAGTCACGTTGGTGTTACAGAAGCCATGGGTGTGATTTTTGCATTATCTGGGACACTTTTGGTGTCAGAACTCTTGGCGTGGTGGTGGCTGCTACCAGCATCTATTTGGTAGAAGTAAGAATGCTGCTAGACGTCTTGTGATTCAGCATAGTCTCACTAGGCTGAAAAGTGGCTCCCCAAAGACACCCATGTCTGAATCCCTGGAACCTGTGAATGTTGTTATAAAGTCTCTGCAGATGTATTAAAGTTAAGGATCTTGAGATGGGGACATTATCTTGGATATCCAGGTAGGGCATAAATGCATCACAGGTGTCTTTATTAGTTAGAGAAAGGCAGAGGAATGGACGTTTGACAGAGAAGCCATTGTGAAGATAGAGCACAGAGACGGCAGCCTTGAAAATCGGGAGTGATATGGCCACAAGCCAAGGGGTACTGGCAGCCACCAGAAGCTGGATTTTCCCCTGGAGCCTCCAGAGGGAGCCTGGCTCAGCTGACATTTTGATTTTGGCCCATTGAAACTGATTTCAGACTTCTGGGCTTCAGAACTGTGAGAGAATAGCAGACTTGGGAAACAAATCTTGCCCCTCATGACAGAGAATTTTCTAGCCCAAACTGACACTGCTGAGTGCCATTGTTGAGAAACCCTGTCTTAAGGTTGAGTAGAGATCAGCCAGCCCTGTCCTTCCTTCTTGCCCATGTCGCACTGAATGCTCATGGCCACTAAGCTCTAGGATTCAGTCTGTTGTATTTGTCCCCCAAATTTTTTGTGGTATTTGTCCTTGGTAATTAAATATGCAGTTGAAATAATAAACCAATAAAATAGCATAAAGATCGCTATTGCAGAAATGGGTAAATGGGTGTACTTTTTATATTGTTTATGTTTTAAAAGTTAAGATGCTTCAGAGCATGTAAATATCATTCCTTGATTCTCTCCTTGAAATTGAGGGCTTCCTTTCCTCTTTAATTGAGAATGATGGATTTGTGATTTATGAATCATAAAACTGTATGTCTTCAGTTACACCACTAGAGGGTTCACTTCCAAAGCTAATTGTGATGTGGCTAGAGATCTTCATTAGGATCTTGGAATTTAGTGGGTAAAATGGGCCTTAAAGATAACTCACAGTGCTCCTTGTACACTGACAATTGATTACTGATTTCTTCTCAAGGATCTTTAATTTACTCCACTATTTTAACATGAAGGAAGGATAGCTCTTGACAAAACATTCAGAGCTTTAACGATAGTTAAGGTATCTTATTCATAAGTTTTTGGAACAAAGATACTGTCCTCAGAGTACGGAGTCATCAGTATTCAGTTGAAAACACTCCATTCTTTGCAGTATGAAATAAGCCAGTAGCTCTCCCTGTTTGAGCATGTGGCCAGCTAATAATAAGCCCTGGATCTCTCATCAGTCCCCTGAAAAATCTTGAGGTTTATATTCTTAGGTTTATTGTAGTTGAATAATATTAACAGACCAGGGTAGAGGATCGTTCTGCAATTATTAAGTCACTGACAAAGTAGTTTGCTTTTAGCCTGAAGAGAACATTTTTGTTTTCTTGGCGATGCTTTATCGTATAGGATCTGCATGTTGTTGAAGTGAAGGACCATTGACACATTTTACTAAGCATCCTCCCTTAATTACATGTCATCTAATAGTGATTTCCTTTGTAAATAAGAAGTATAACCTATGGACCACCATCTGTAGGACAGAATGTTATAAATACAGTTGGTGGCAGGAAACAAAGCATGTTCACTAAATCATGGGATTTATAAAGCTTTAAACCTGAGCAGAAAGTGACCATGGTGGGATTTGGAAAAAAACTGACTAGAATGTAGAACATGGTTATTTTTGTGCTGTATGTGATATGGGCTAACCAGCAGACAGCTCTAATTACTTGAAGTGTGCTGTTCGTTGGATTTTAATGCAGAGCAATGCAAATCCTGATAATAATAATAATCACATTTCAAGAGTTTTGTTATTCCCATTATAAGGTGGGACAGTTCTCCGCTCCCTTTTGGGAAAAGACTTTTTATTATCTGTTATAAATCTTTTTATCCACTTAGGTATGAGAAACTTGGTAAAAAAATATGAACCACCCAGATCTGAAGAAGTTGCTGTTCTGAAACAGAAGTTAGAGAGATGTCACTCTGCTGAGCTTGCCCTTAACATAATTACGTAAGTAGATGTGTTATTTGACAATTGTCAAGTCTAGCTCATCCTTAAAATAAGTCATTTAATTGGTAACTGCTTTCGCGGGGAAAAATGACTTCCTCCTTAAGTTGGATTTTTTTAACTGAGTGGACATTTCTAACAGGATAAACACGAGGTAATGGTCTGGTTTTCGTAATACAGTTCTCCTGCTATGACTAATGTGTTCTTTGGCTTGCAGGCCCTGTCCCATTCTTTTACTCCTTGTGGGGTCTCTAGAGTCTTTCTCAGGAGTCTTTGAACCTCTTCTTGCTCTTTTAATCTTTGGGTTCTTGGCAGGTCTGATTGATACCTTGTCTGAGGGAGCAAGTGTACTGTTCCAGGTTTCTATTAGGTAGAGTAGGGAAAGTTGGCTTATTTTCTTTCAGTGGTAAACTTTATACTTAAGGAAGACCTGTAAGGTATCTTACCGATTTGTAGGCTAAGTGTGGCAGCTAGAGAATTCAGGTTCTTGATGCTTTGCAAATTGAAGGATCCACTCAAACCTAATCTTTCAGGAGTTTGAACAGTTGGGCGTCCAGACACATAATAAGAATGGAAAAACTATTTTCTATTTTCTGTGGAATGCATTCTGATTCAAAGGTTCTACCTTACTTGTTAGTATTTAGTGGGAATGAGCCCTGGCATCTTATAGCTAAGGATGTATCTAAGATGTTATCTCTATAGTTGGTAAATATACTCGATTGGATAATGAGAAACCAGAACAGTGTTCCATGGCCTTCAGATCCAGGTACACATGAGTCAAACTGTGTAAGTAGGAGATTTATGAAGCATGCCAAATATGGGTCTACTTTATTATATTCATAACTATAATTGCAAAGCATGGCTTAGCATAGGACTTAAAATTGGTAGATTTCACTCCTGGGTTTCAGTGGTAACTCATAGGAATGAAAGAGAGGTTACAGAGAAGTAAAGAAATGTTGACTTTGGTAAGTAAAATTATTACAGCACTGATCATCATCTTTCCACATAAATTTTGAAGGGACTGGCAAACTCTGGCCCAGAGGCCAAATGTGAACTACTACCTGTTTTTAGAAAGACTGGTCTTGGACCAGAGACATACCCATTAATTTGCATGTTGTCTGTGGCTGTTTTCACACTACTGCCGGAGTTGGTTAGTTGTGACAGAAATGGACTGTATGACCTACAGGGTGTAAAATATTTACTTTTTGGCCATTTAAAGAAAAATTTACCACCCTCTGGATTAGACCACTGAACTATTAATCTACCCTTCTAGCTAGATAACTGAATGGCCCAGCCCGTAAGCCAAAATTCTAAATTGCCAGAGTACTACCTCTTACTCCCAAGTTACTATCTGCTTTACACTATGTCAAGCAAATTCTGCATATCCATGAGTACTTGAGAGGTGCTTTTAAAAATGCAAGCAAATATATTGCTTACATTATAAAATGCAAGCAATAAATTACTAGAAAAATGAAATAGACAAAATATAAGCCTAAATTTTATTAGATTCAACTGACAAAATCAACAAAATTACTGTAAAAGTTTCTAAACACACACTCAGTTTCTGTACTTAATCTTCTTGCATAGTGGAAATGGTTCCTGGATTGACCAGCACTGGTCCGTGGACCACACTTAACAGGCATTACGTTAGGATAAAATATTTGTTTTCTTTATAAACTCCTTTACCTTTTTTCCATTACACAAGTAATAACTACATTGTCATTATTAAAGTCCGCTGATTCAGGTAAACCAAAGTTCTGTTAGATCAAAACCCAAATCCACTTGTGACCTCGGGTAATTTCTAGGTGGTTTACCTTTGCCATCATTTTCTCTGCATGTGTGTCTGAGGAAGTTTGTTTTTTTCTCTTCATTACTGTTTTCATACATATTGTACATTTAATAGTATGAATCTTTAACTTTTATCAGTCTGGGTGAAAAAAGTGATCACATTGGTATTTTAATTTGCATTTCCTGTATTACTGTGAGGCATTGATATTTCTGTATTCAACATTTATATTTCTACTCCTGTATTGCTTGCTTATAACCTTTGAGTGGTTTTCTGGTGTTATCTTCTTGATTTGTAGCTCTTTTTATATTTTATATACTTTTCAAATATATCTTACACCTGTTTTCTTCTGTTTCACCTTGTGATAGATTTCTTCTGTTTTACTTTGTGTTGTTTTACACCTTTATATCTCAAAACCTTTTCCTACCCTAAGTTAATCTACATTTTGCTTTTTGTTTAGCTGTCAAAACTATTTAGAATTATTCGTGAACGTTCTGAGGTAGAAATCTTAATACTCATTTTTTAAAATCAGTAATGTTATGCTAGTCACTTTTTAAAAAATTCATAATTTTTCTCAGTTAAATATTCATTGTATATTAAGTTCCTATGTATAGTTGTTTTTTTGCTTGTCTGCTCTGATTGTTGATCTATTTAAATCTTGCTAATCCCATACTTTAAGTTACCATATCTCTTATATATAGTGTTATGATAACTGGGACAAGGGCCCCACACTGTTCTTTCAGATTCTTTGGCTATTTTTGCAGTCTTTCACACATCAGAGTTATACTTGAAAGGTTCCAGGAAAAGCTTTATTAGGACTTTAGTTAGAATTGCATTGAATGTAAAGATTAATTTGAAAGATACTGTCTTCCTATCTGTCGTAGTTCATCTCTTTTCATTTATGCAGGCTTTGTTCTTTAGCAGATACATACGTACCATTTACCAGCCTTGCTAGTTTATTTTGTAGTTTTTGTTACCAGTATTCGATTGCTTACTGATGGTTGCTCAATCATAGGAAGAAGAGGAAAGGCTATGAAGATGATGATTATGTCTCAAAGAAACCCAAACATGAGGAGGTATGTTGTCCAAAGGTAAATTTTAAGTTACTCTTGTTGTATAATTTGGTCTGACCATACTGTTAAGATTTTATCATTCCAGAACATGAGTATTAGAGAGGTGTGGGCTTTGAAAGCCTTCATTTTCATTTTCTTGCACCCTTCTTTATGTCCATTCTCTTATTATCTTAGCCTATTGTGAAGCAGTATGATTGTTACTTGACGAATTCTTCCTGTGATTATGGAAGGCAGCAGAAATAGAACATTTTAAATTTTTGCTATTTGACTCTCCCAGGATTCTTCTCTTATCCTTTTTTTAAAAAAATGTACCTTATAAGTTAGATATAGATTAATAGGAGGCAAAAGGTCACAGTTGTAACCTTTACTCGTCATTGGTGTAGTCTGGTAAGACCAAGCCATATTATTCTAAGATTGAACTACCACAAAGTTTCCTGGTTGATTTACCTTCCTATAATCAGCAGAGTAAAAGTAGAACATTTTCTTAAAGGGAGGCAAGGAAGTAAACATTAATGTTATGCTTCAGTGTAATGTTATTCTTACTACATTTTCTTTCCTTCTTAGGAAGAATGGACTGACGATGACCTGGTTGATTCTCTCTAACCATTTGAAATTGACTTTTCAATGCTAACTAATCAACAGAAGGATGAAACCTATCTGGCATTTAAGTTTATTTAAAAATGAAATGACGTGAAAGCATTAAAGATAGTAAATTTTCTATTTTTGTTAGTTAAATTTTCTTCCCTTTCAGGATAGCTTTATGTGAAATAAAACCTTTTCAAAGGGGCCAGAATAGCACCTGGTTTAGATAGTCTTGTCCCATCATGACTAATATCAAATTAATCTTTCTATAGTAGTGAAAGCTGTAATTTATTTGCCTGTATGGTTTAAAACAAATTACAATATGCAAACCTATTTTTTAAGGAAAAGCACAAAAGTTAAAAAAACCGAGTAGTCTGCTTTAAATGTGCTAGGGAATGTTTTTCACTCTCTACAAGCCTTTGTATAAATGGTTTCTCAAATGTCACTGTGATCTACTTAACTTTTTGTAGGTTACTACTGAACTACAAAATGCGCTTCAGCTGTCAAGTGGTGGTCAGTATGTGTTTTCCTCAGTTACCTGAAAACATTACCAAATAGGTTTCTAAAAGAGAAATCAAGTAAATATGCAGTCGTTTATTTTTTTTAATATTTTTTTAATGTTTATTTTTGAACGAGAGATAGAGCAGGGGAGGGGCAGAAAGAGAGGGAGACACAGAATCCAAGCTTTGAGCTGTCAGCACAGAGCCTGACGCAGGGCTTGAACTTCATGAACTGCAAGATCGTGATGCACGCCGAAGTTGGGACGTGTAACCAATTGGAAGCCACCCAGGCATCCTGGTAAATATGCAGTCTTGAATAGTTGTCTCGATAAAAATATTAAGTTGCTATTAACCAGTAGATAGGTGTTACAGTTACTAAGAATTTTTCAAATTAAACATGTTTAAGAAGTTTAATTCGAATTGAAGGGAGTTGATATTAAATGTAAATCCACAGACCTCTGTGCCAATTTCCTAAGGTGCAAATAGGGAAAATAATCACCTATGTTTCCTAGGATTAATTGGAATAGTGGTTGCCTATATTAAGCGTTAATAAATGTTGTATAGAAATAGTATTCAGGTATTTAACTGTGATTTTACTATTCTGTTTTATTCATAATTTGGAACCAAATTATGGATGTCTGTTGAATTTTTTCTGGAATACTGGTTGAAGGAATTCGGCAAAACTCGCCCGTGAATCTGAATGTTATGGATACACAGCTTTTCTCAATGTCTGTGCATCCCAGGCTGCACCTTCCATTTAGAATATATTTTAATTACATCTCAGTATTTGAGGACAGTATTTACTATATGCATATTCTTCTAATAATTTTTTATATTTTAGGTTTTTTATTTTTAGTTCCTTCTCACTTTAGAATGAGGAATGAAGTTCATTAAGTGTGATTTTATAAAAGTCGAATAGAAGAAGCTTAAGTTGACCATTTTCCAGTGCATTCCAAGTTATGTAGCAGTGCTGCTAGCCTCTAGACAGCACTGCGGAGTGTTGGTAATTTACCTTGTTTGTCTTTTAGGTCAGTAAGCTTTGGCATCTGAGCAAGGTCCACATTTATCTCTGCAAAGTCTCCTACCCAGCCCCATTTTAAAAGTTTTAGTTACTGCAAGTTCCACCCTACAAAGGTAAATGACGTTTCCTATTCCAGCTTAAAAGATAAACGTGGCATTAAAATGTGATCAGTGGTGGAGAACGCGATTGCCTAGTGCTAGAATTTGGACCTCTTTGCTCCATGTCCCTTCTGGTCTATCCTTCATTCTGTAACCCAAGTGGGATACTCCCGTAAAGCAGGAGTGACGGAAAAGTAAAGTAATGAAATTGACACCAAGAGAAAGGAGCACAGGGCTGTTGAACACCACTGCTCACCTGCCTCCACAGAAGGCTTTTCTGCCATGTACTACTTTTTGTGTGCCTTCCCCCTCCTACACCATCGTAGGAGGGAAGGAATTGTTACTTGTCTTTTTCTTACTAGGCCTTGCTCTGGTACTAAATTTGAACTGCCCCTGAAGGAGAAAGAAAATAATGAAATGAAATGCTTAGCTGGATTTAGACAATTATTCAAGATATCCCTTGGTTTTATTTTAACTTAACCCTTGCGAATACTTCACAAAAATACATATACAGAAGCAAATAAAACTATACAAACTAAATATGCAGCAGATAGAACAAGTAGTCAGAAGTTCAAAGATGGAGAACTGTTTAAAAACATCAGTTTGGAAATGAATACTTTCAACAAAAGCATTCCAGGTGTTTTTAAACACAAAATAAATTGGTAATGTATACAATGGATGAATGGGGAACATGCCTTGATCAGTACAACGACCAATAATATTTATTGAATTCAAACTATTTACTGTTGTAAACATGTAACGAAAGCATCATGAGATCTAAATACAGTCTTTGACAATTCCAACAAAATAAGTGGTATGTTTAAAAAATAAAGCTGATGAGCAATAGATCCATTCTATATATTTTCTTTCAACAGTTCCAGCAAGAGAAATAGCACAGTATTTTAAAAAAGTATACAGCAAAGATTGTTCCTATTATAATGGCAAACTCTGGAAACTGTAAATACAAATAGTCAATGAACAGTCAAACGGTCGTATTCCTAATGAGGAAGGAGTTACAGTAAGAACAGTCAGTGATCCAGTTATCCTCAATTGTCAACAGAATCGTTTTTCTTGTCAGTTGGTTTCATAGTTCTTTTTGGCAATTGGATGTAGGGAAAATACATTTTCCAAGTTCAAGATACAGTCATAGCATTTTGTTGTGTGAAAGGTGATCTGTACACCAAGGCTCAGAAGTTGGTAAAGATTGATTCCGTATGTGGAAAAAGTGCAAATATCCTGCACAGATAGCTTACAAAAAGCTGCTGGCACACTCACCAGCAGAATCTTGGATTTTGTTTGCATAGCTCACACATCACTGGAATGTGGAAAAGTGTGCTATTTTTTGGCAAGAGCAAAGGAGACATTATACTGACGTGAATTACCGTGTTGGGCGTGCTGCACTTGGGCGAAGGCTGCTACCTGACATCATTAGTTTTTGTATACTGGTTTTGTTTTTGTTGAAGCAGTTCTGTTATGGCCAGGAGCTTTTTCAGTACATGCTAAATAAACAAAGAGAACAGTACAAAAATAATTAGTAAATAGGTAACAGTTTGGTCAAATTTGAGGGAACCTGGAGTTGTAAAAAGCCATTATCAATTCAAAAGAATTCAAAAACTATTAACCATTCTACTCAAAAGATGAAACCGTAAAGGTTTCTATTCAGTCCTTGACTCAGTATTTTTGTACACTTTTAAAGTAAGTAAATTCATTTGTGTGGCATTCTCCTATCTACCTAGGATAGAACATCTTTCCAGAAAACATTTATTATAAATGACACATACATCTTAAACCCTGTAAGATGATGGAAGGACATTCAATTTGCAGCCTACTGAATACTTTAAGATTATGGAAGAAAAAGGACTAGGCCTAAAATTTTTTAGTCAAATTGTCCAGTAAGAATTTTATTTTTAACTTAAGGCAGTCCATAATAAACTGCACCAGGTAGGGAGAAGACAGTATACATACCATGGACATGTAAGGAGGCCAGTGGCACACATCCTGCCCAAGCTTTTAATAAGCCAGAGTGTTATCTAAACTTGAGGATTTGGGGTTGAAGAAAACTCAGAGTCCCCAAACACAATGTTTTAATCTCTTCTACAGGGTCCCTGCCAAATGAATGGCCAGGCTAGTGACAGTACTCAGAAGAGCTTAATAGAAATGGCATCTTCCCACGCCATGCTCCAGAATCTCTGAATCTGGAGCTTGCAAGTCACTTGGCCATGCACTGCATATGTGAGAGAAAGAAAACGCCACCTCACTATTGACTTCATTGTTCATTTGCCATCTTCAGAAATCACTGAAGTGTGTGAAACACATCATCGTTTGAGGTCACAGTGTGCAGTATCAAACATACATAATTTTAGCCTGGGTCCACTATTCCTTTGCCAAGATCTTGGTGGAGTTGTGATTCAGATTCTTAAAAATGTAACTGAGAACAGTTTTGACCATAACTCAGCAAATTCCCTCTCAATTTTATGCTGACATTCTGCTTAAGTGTTAATCAAACATCACTGTTAGTGAAGGCTGGCAAAAACCTACCTGCTGTGCACCCCGTTCATTGCTGAGTGTTCGCAGTTCATCTGAATGGGCCACACAAATCTCATGCAGTGCTGCTAAATCACGAGACAGGTCAGTTCTAGAATGCTCTGTAGTGTCCGGAAGTTCAGGTACATTCTTTAAGAGAATCATAAAACTGCATTTACATACACAAATCTTTATAGTCACTTCTGAAAAGATCCTAATTGCTTATAGTAGACAGAATTTTTAACGTAATATTCTCTTAAACTTTTCTTAATGTTCTAAGGACTTACTGAAATGTAACATTCAGTGCTAATTCTGATAAAACACAGAATGTGTGACCTCAGCATTCACATCAAACCTAGGTTCTGGTTTTCTACCACATAATGGCAGAATATTGTACAGTACTGTTATTCTAAATAAATGGGTTTCCTAAACTCCTTTATTAAGAGTTCTGGGTTTTACTGATCTGGTATATAGGCAAAAAAACCCCAAAAAGACAAAACAACACAGTATAACAGCTAATCTGGATTAAATGCAATCTAAACTTAAAATGCCTCTGTTCTTGCAAACTAAACTTCATTATTCAGCCGGTATATTTTGTTTGACTTTATCAGTATATATAAGAGTTACACTGTGAAAGTGTGATGAGAACATGTCAGGCCTGTAATTATCTGTGGACTATGCCCAAAACATTTGGTTATGTGTGGAAATGATCACTGTTAATTATGATATCTTCAGGTAACGTTCATTAAACAACTTAGTACTTTATTAGCACTAAATAATCAATGTTAGTTTCAGCCTGAGAATAAACTTTAACATGGGCTCAGCCTGCTGGTAGTTTTGAATAAATCCACTCCTCTCCCTAATGGTGATAATACTTGTTAATTAACTCAGTTATTCATTTATTCATGCAGTGAATGAAGGATTACAGAAATGAAAGACTGTAAGTGCCTAGGTCACTCAGTTAAGTGTCTGACTCTTGATCTCACGTCATGATCTCATGGTCTGTGGGTTCAAGCCCCACATTGGGCTCTGCCCTGGCAGTGCACAGGCTGCTTGGGATTCTCTCTATGCCTCTCCCCTGCCTGCCCTCTTGTTCCCTCTCTCTCAAAAAAAAAAAAACAAAAAACAAAACAAAACAAAAACTACAGTATTTGCCTTCAGGGAGCCTGCAGTCTCTGTAGAAGATACGTAAACGAATCACAGCAACACAGAGATATCAAAGATGTGCAGAGGACTCCTGGGAAGCAGAACAAAAGGTATTTGATTCAGGTTTAGTGCTCATCAAAGCCCTTCTGAAGGAGATACTTCAGGTGAGTGCTGAAAGATGAATTTGATTTTTGCAGGTGGTAAAGGAATACAAGAGCG